ATCACAGGGAATGACAAGAGCCACCCCTCCCGCATCGGCCTGAGGCAGGAAGGAGCAGAAGGCGCGGTGAGGAATGTGTAGCCGATGAAGCGCGTGCCGTAGCTCCGCCGCGGTCGAATGGACCTCCTGAACCGCCATGATGGTGCCGCGCCTCAGGTGCTGTGCCAGATATTGAAGCTTGCGCTCTCGAACACCTCCCACCCGTCGGTCATGATGGAGAAGGGCGCGCGTATTCCACGTGCCCATCGTCAGCGGAGCCGAAGAGGCAGATGGAGGCCTCCAGCATGCGAATCGATCATCAAATAGACCACTGCGCTCGCTCCACTTCGCCGAATAGTTCCTCGAAGGCATCCTTGACAGCAGACTTGTCCAAACCAAGATCAGTGACCATGCGATAGTTCCATTCCAAACTCGTCGCTTGGCTCGCCTCGTCTGGAATGCCGACCCTGATCACCGGAGAGGGGCCGTGATATATGACTCCCTGTGCTCTGTTCGCACGCCACCGCCCAGGCGCGCCGTCACGCTTGATGATATCGAGGAGCTTCTTCGATTGAATCTCACGTCGCACCATCTGCGCATTCTTGTCCAGACTGACAAACAGGGAAGTCCGAGCGCCAGCAGGAGTCGCAGTCTCAAAGCGCCTCCACGCCCCGTTGTCCAGCCTGAGCTTCTTGAAGGCATGCTGAACGTGTCGGGCAGCGAGGCCCTCGGCGCCCTTGAATTGCACAATGAATCGCCTCCCTGGTCCATCGCCTCGAATCTCCCACTGGTCCTCCGTGAAGCCTCCCGCCTCGAGCCACTCCAGGACGCTGGCACGGACCTCCTCCTTTGCCACAGGTTCCTGCGCGGTGGCCGTGAAGATAGTGTGGTTCGGCTCCCTGGTGAAGCTCGCATTCTCCGCGATGTCGTGAATGGCAGGCACCGCCTGCTCACATTGGTGAGCGATCTGCTGGAGCCGCCTGACCTCCTCACGCATGTCTCTGTGTGAACGCTCCAAGACATCCTGCCGCGAGTCGAGGTCGCGAATTCGGAGCCCCATCTCCTCATTGAAAGCTTCCTGTCGAACAGCCAGTGCACGAACCGCTTTGGCCGTGCCCTCATGTATGTTGTGCTCCATCTTGGTGATGGCCTCGGCGACCGAGGCATGGACCGACTGGGTGATGTCGGCGCGCAGGGTGCTGAGGATGTCATCCAGGTCGCAGCGTCGCAGCACCCGCACGTCTTGGGCAACAGGCGTACCAGGAGTAGGCCCAGGAGAGCCAGTGCCAGTAGAAGGAGTCCCAGCCTCAGCCGCCGCAGTGGCCCCACTCGTCCGAGGGGAGCCTGCCGCGGTGTTGCCAGCCTGGCGCCACGGGTCAGCCTCGATGAGTGCATCCACACGACTGGCTTTGCAGCTCGGCTCCTCCGTCTGGTCGCCGATGAAGTGGTGCCTAAGCTTCGACGCTGAGGCCGCACCTGCACTGTCTCGACCGCCGCCCTTCCCACCACCCAGACGGCCGCCACTTGCACCACTATGCTGAGAAGAGTCTCCAGCGCCATCAAGCATCGACGTGGATGTACAGAGCTTTGGCAAAGGTGTGAGGGATGAAACCTCAATTGCCCCCGTAGGGGATGTAAGAAGTAGATGCGCACGAAACCGAAGCACAGACACAGGCGAATCAAAATGGAGAGTGGCCTCAAAGCGGAACCTCCCTCGCGCTCAGACGTCGCCCCGAAAGACTCGCGGTCGTCGGGACGGTTCATGGCCTTGAGCCAAAATCGCGACGGATACATATATATATATATATGCATACATACATACATACATACATACATACATACACCGAACAGAAACACGCGTGTGCTTAGTTTCTAGCCGCGCCCAAAGAACTCGCATCGGAAGTAGGAACGCAGGGGCGACCCTGGAGCTCCTTCAGGAGTGGTAGAGGGGCCTGCGGCAATGGAGTCTTGGGGCCCCGGCGACGTGTAGGGGAGTCCTGGGGCTTCTTCAACGATTCTCGCGCCTCTCTGAATCCACTGGGGGGCCGGAGGAGGACGCGCTGAACGAAGAAGAGCGGCGCCCGAGTCTGGCTCCGTTGTACGGTGCAGCGACGGCAACAAAACCCATCCGGGTCGCACCGACAGGACCTCAAATTCGATGACTTTGGCTTCTCGGGGGCATTCTTGAAGAACTTTAGGGCCACCTCCAGCCGTCTTCGAGCAAGATTGGAGCCTCTTGGACGCCTGCTGGAGATGTGGTGTTGGGGGCATTCTGGGCCATCTTGGAAGTTTCTCGGGGCCGTTTGGGGGGCCTATTGGGCTGTCTGTTGGGGCCGCCTGGGGCCGTATCTGGGCCCATCTTGGGCCGTCTTGGGGTCCTGTTGGATCTCTTGGACTGTCTTGTGTTCCTTTGGGTGCCCCTTTCGGCCATCAGCCCTTTATGGGCCCTCCTGGGGCCCCTCTGAACCGTCTTAGGCCCCCCTTCTTGGGCCCGCTTGGGGCCCTTCTGGGGGATCTAGGGGCAAGCTCGGAGGTGCGTCGTAGCGGGCCAGCTTTGGCGCGGGGGCGTTGGCAGTGCCGCGCGCACGGCAACCCCTTGCGCGGGCGGACGTGGTGCCGTGCACAGCGTGCCAGGTGTCATACTGGGTGTGGGGAAGGAGACACTTGTGAAGCACGCGCAGACTTGGCGGCGCGCACAAGGGGGTCGGGGGAGGGGGGAAGGCTTCTTAGAAGGCGGCTGCTTCTTAGAAGGGCCTGGCCCTACATCTACAGACAAGACCCGCGCCTTCTAAGAAGCAGGGGTGTTTCGAAGACGCCTTCTCTTAGGTCGGGCATGTGTCCTCCTACAGGCGGATCTTGCAGGAAGAATAAAAATAGTCAAACAAATACCCCGAAATTGTCAAACATAGCCAACAAGTCGTCCCAGACTTTGTTGTTGCTGTTTTCTGTTGACCAACAACTATGTATGAGCCTTCCTCCTGTCGTGGGACATGCCCGACTCCTTCTCCCCTTCCCCATACCCCCTCCTCTCTGCGCGTGGCCGAGCGCGCAGGCGGCGCCCCCGCATGGGGGGGTGCAGTGGCGCCTCGCCCTGCGCAAGGGCGGCCGGACTCAGACGCCCGCAGCCGTGCCCAGAGGAGGCACGGCCGCCCCCGATGCCTCCCGCCCCGCCCCGCCCGCGGCACCCGAGGGCGCAGCCAGCGAGGCGGCCAGGATCGTGTTGTTCCCATCGTACTTATCGGGAGCGGCCAAGAGGGGGGTGTCCAAGAGGGGGGGTGCAAATCATGACCGGTGGCATGTGCGCGGCCCAGCGGGGGGGCCAGGAACGTAAAAGAAGAGGCGCCATGAAATCAGGGGAAATATCATGGCCCACGCCATGATATCCACCCCCACTTAGTCATCACCCCCCTCTTTTCCGCCCCCGAACTTGAGGACCCCATCCCATACACGATTTCGAGCATCCGGAAAAGTACCGAAACAGCGTCGAACGAGTATCGCCTCCCAGGGCCCAACACGTCAAAACCCTCCACTTCCGGTACTTTCCTGGTGCTCGAAATTCTTTCTGGTGGTCCAGGCTAAAGTGGGTTGGAACATCATAAGGCCAAGACGAAATTATGTTGCATCCTCGAGCTGGACGTTTTCGCATTTTTTGGGGCCCCGGGACCCTCACAAATCAATCCGGCTGGAAACACGATGCAGACATATGGGGTCCAGGGTTCCAGGCGTAATTTTCGAGGATGCTCCAATGTTTCCGCCACGTCGGATCTCAAGGAAGGCAGACAACCGCCAGAGAGAGAGAGAGAGATCGCCCGCCAAAACCAGGCCTCCTAAAACGACGCGAAGATCGGGACAAAATCGGATCGGGATAACTCGAAATCTCTGAGAATCGGCGGGTTTGGAGGATGTATTGGGCGCCGCGGCCGCTCCAGAGCGTTCCGGAACGCTCTGAGAGCGCTCCGGAACGCTCTGGAGCGATTTATCCCGATCCTAGCCCTGTTTTACCTCCGCAGGACCCTGGCACGGCAGGAGCCAGGCTGCGCCAGGCACTCGGGGATAAGACGGGTGCTCGAGCTCGTTCGCCGTCGTCGGGCCCCCCCCCCCATGGGGGGGCCCTCCGCCGGCCCCAGCAGGGCCGTCGAAGAGCGGCTCGGGAGGAAGAGCCCGCCCCGGGGAACGCCCCGGGTCCATTCGGGTCGGGCGAAAGGGGGGGATAGCAAAGGGGGGGGTTGAGAATCAGCTCACGTAGCTGATTTTCCCGGCGCCTCCCGGCGCCAGAGGCGCCCATGTATCGAGGAATGGGCCCCTCGGTGAGGCCGAAACCAGCTGCATGCAGCAAATTTCGTAACCCCCCTTTCCCAAACCCCCCCTTTCGCCCGACCCGATCCATGGGACCCGCTTCCCTCAGGACGCCCGTCTTCTCCAGACGTCCGACGCCGCGACCTCTGCACAACGCTCTGGGCCCCCTCCCGGGGGCCGGCGCTGCATCCGGGGGTCGTTTGTCGACAGTCCCGGGGGCCTCGTATAAGGGCCCCTGGAGGCCGCACGCCGTCCGAAACGTTCCGTCGTGAGATGCTCACCGCGCCAGGACGTCCAGTGGCCCTGGCAAGGGCCCAGGAGGCAGAGCATTGCCCTAAACCTCCCGTCGTGAGTTCTGCACGGCACGAGGACGTCCAAGCCTCATGCCGAGTCCTGGCGGACGTGCCCTCCCGGCATCGGCACGGCATCCGCCGGGATCTGGGCCCGAGCTGAACCTGCCCGCGGCGGCCAGGTGAGCGGGCGGGTGCCTCCCGCCACGGCTCGGTGCTTCGAGGTGCCCAGGCGGCCACGACGGCTAGGGCTTGCGTGGTGCTTCGTGGCACAGCCAAGGTCAGCCACGCCGGCTCCCGGCAGTCTGCGCTGCGCGGCGCCGGAGGGGGAGAAGGGGAACGAGAAGCAAGCAGACGACGGCGAACGCGCAGGCGGGAGGCCAGGGCCGGCGGGACGAAGGACGGCGCAGGCGGGCGGGGCGGTGGGGTCCTCACGACGTTGAAGCCGATGTACTCGTAGGTGAACTTGTCCTGCGGCGTGGGGAAGCGGGGCGGGGGGGGGCAGGAAGGGCTCAGGGCCCTGTCGGGTGTTGCTGGGGGTGCCCCAGGCCCGAGGTGTCTCCAGGATTTCTCGGAGGGCCCAGGTGGCCTCAAGAGCACACCCTACGAGGCCCAGAGAGATCTGGAAAGCTGGGGACACGATGGTTGGGCCAGGGACGCCTCTGGCAGCCCCCGACCCCTGGCGTCGTCGCCTCTCCGCGCGGACCCCCCCCCCGGCGATCTCGGCCGCTTCCCTGGGCCCGATGTCGAAATCCTCAGCCGTTTTCGGCAGCTCCAGGGCCAGATTCGCCCTCCCCCCCCCCCCCAAAGTTGTCGCCAGATGGCATGGAGCCTCCCGCCAAGCGTTTTTGCTCTTGCTTCACGGCGCGAGGGATCCGCCAGGGGAGGCGCGGAACGGAGCGGGAGCAAGTACGGCCAAGCTGCTGCCAAGAGGAACGCCCGCTCAGGAACGAGGCCCCCCCCCAATTCTGGCCCCAGGAGCGCCTGGGTGCGCGGGGAGCGCTGGAGGAGCAGCCGCGGAGAGGTCCGAGGGAGAGCAGGCCCCTTCCGAACCCGAGCTGCACCGGGAGACAGCAGCACGAGCCGCGGACCAGCCCCGAGGAGCAGCCGCCCGCGTGCGTGGCAGCGGCGCGGCCTGAGGGGGGGGGGGCAGGACGGAGACGGTGCAGCGGAGACATCCCTATCAGATACCTTCGCGTCGTGGAGCACTCACGGTGAAAGCGAACTGACAATTTCTGCTGCCTCCTCCTCCCCCTCCTCCTCCTCCTCCTCCTCCTCCTCCTCCTCCTCCCCTCCTCCCCCTCCTCCCCCTCCTCCCCCTACCCCTCCTCCTCCCCCCTCCTCCTCCTCCTCCTCCTCCTCCTCCTCCTCCTCCTCCTCCTCCTCCTCCTCCTCCTCCTCCTCCCCCCCCCCCCCGGGGCCCTCACCGGGCCCCGGGGGCCGGCCAAGAGAGGCCCCGGCTATAGGAGAAGCATGTCCCCGGACAGGGGCCCAGACCTCGGACCGTGGTGGCAGCGGCAGGCACAGCTCACGGCGTGTCGGCTGTCGGGGGCCGAGGGGCTGAGGGGGCTGTGCCGATCTGGGGTGCCACTGGACTCAGAGTCGCAGGGAGAGCTCGTCAGGAGAGAGGAGCGTGGCCGAGGTGGAGACCCGCCGTGCTGCCTCTTGCTGTAAGCGTTTTTGCGACTGCTTCTGTGGCCGTCGTCGCCACACGAATCCCCCACGAACCCCCCACGACTCACCTGCGACGAACCGATGAGCATCTCGCGACACACCCGCATTGTCTTGAAAGGCGGCAGGCAACGCAATGAGGTGTAGCACAATGACGTGCCATGTAATGCAAAACATATTGCAGCGCACCAATGCAACACTTGACGATATACATAGCAACCTGGCAACCTAACATATCATTGCAACACTTGACGATCATACCGTGCCGCAGCAGTGAACAGCACAGTACAGCGTTGTGTTGCATCGCATGGTGCAACATAGCACGGCACAGGCGAGCATTGCATATCGTGGCACGCCATTGCACCTTGCACCTGACATGGCACAACATAACGCGCGATGGGCACTGCACAACCAGGCATGGCACTGCATGACAGCTTTCGCGAGGAACCAGCTCCCAAGTCGCGAGGAATCGGCATGGCAAGTGCGGCCAGACGGTGCCCCGCTGCACAACACAAAGGAGAACACGAGGCAAGCACTGAGCCTCCAGACAGGCCCCACGTGGGGAAAAAGGTGGGCGCCTGCGGCGGGCTAGTCTAGACGGCGTTGGAGAACATTTTCGTGCGCTCCTACCCGCGCGACACGCCGACGACCTAGCCGCGGCCCAGCCATACTGCTTTGAAAACAAATCGGCGCTACTGGCGGGCTACTCTGCTTCGTTTGGGAGGAGCACAGCTCCGCGAGACTTGCTGACGACCCGTCCACACTGCGATACGCCCGTTGACTGCGCCCTCATTCGTCTCCACACTTCCGCGACCCACCCCGCCACCTGCCCCGCGACCGCCCCGCGACCCGTCCCGCGACCCCCCGCGACACGCCCCGCGAACCACCCGCGACCCGCCCCGCGACACACTCGCAATCGAACCCGCAACCAACCCCGCAGCCTGCCCGCGATCCGCCGACCCGCGCGGCTCTGAACAGGAATCGGCGCCTGGTTTCTTGGTGCTTGTTTTTGCACCACTGCTCCTCGGACACTGCGTGCCCTCGCCCGCGCAGACCCGCCTGCGGCCCGCGGCCCGCCCCGCGCCGCAACCCTGCGGCAAGCCGTTCTACACTGGCTGTGGACTAGAGTGCACCCTCGCCCAACCCAAACATTCAGTCGGCCCTCTCCCCCTACAAGGGGGTTTTTGGGCGAAATTATCCCGGCAAAGCAACCTAACAGCGATGTGTAGAAGCATATCTGAAAGCATTCCCCTTAAGATTCAGATGAAAATCCAGTTGTCGAATTCTGCTGTTCTCGCAGTCGTAGTCGCATTCGCGATGACAGTCGCAGCGGCAACGGCAGTCGCAGTCACAGCCTCAGCCTCAGCCTGCCTCAGCCTCAGCCTCAGCCTGCCTCAGCCTCAGCCTGCCTCAGCCTCAGCCTCAGCCTGCTTCAGCCTCAGCCTCAGTCTGCCTTCAGCCTCGGCCTCAGCCTCAGCCTGCCTCAGCCTCAGCCTGCATCAGCCTCAGCCTCAGCCTCAGCCTGCCTCAGCATCAGCCTGCCTCAGCCTCAGCCTCAGCCTGCCTCAGCCTCAGCCTCAGCCTGCTTCAGCCTCAGCCTCAGTCTGCCTTCAGCCTCGGCCTCAGCCTCAGCCTGCCTCAGCCTCAGCCTGCCTCGGCCGCAGCATCAGCCTGCCTCAGCATTCAAAATGTGGCCCAGGAATGGAGTTCTGGGAACTAGAAGAACACGAAGTGGCCTACAGTTGGCTCCGGGCATTCAAAATCATGCCCAGGAATGGAGTTCTGGGAACTTGAAGAGCACGAAGTGGCCTACAGTTGGCTCCGGGCATCCAAAATGTGGCCCGGGAATGGAGTTCTGGGAAATCGAAGAGCACGAAGTGGCCTACAGTTGGCTCCGGGCATCCAAAATGTGGCCCGGGAATGGAGTTCTGGGAAGTCGAAGAGCACGAAGTGGCCTACAGTTGGCTCCGGGCATCCAAAATGTGGCCCGGGAATGGAGTTCTGGGAGCACCAAGAGCGATTTTGCGAGGATGTCCCAAGCGATTTCGGCTTCGGCGGCAGCCTCCCCGGGTCCCGCCCAGACCCCCCTGAGGAGTCATGATGCTCTCTTTTGAGACCACTAGAAACCTATCAGCAAGAGCTGTCAGGTAAAATAAAACATGGTTAAACAAATACTCCCCAAATGCTCAACAATAGTCGAAGAATCGTCCCCTGACTACAGCCAAAAACCCTAGTAAGGACGCGCGGTAAGGACGCAAGACCCTTGGAAGCCGAAGTTGGGATCTTTGGGGCGGCGGACGACGAAAACCTCAAGGACGCAAGAGCAAGGAAGAGCAAGGGCGCAAGGGTATCCTGAGCAAAGTCGCGCGTTCTTATTAGGGTTGTTGACTGCACTTTTTTCATATGTTTGAACATTCCCCCTGTAGAGGGACAGGCCCGACTTAACCCAATCATCACACGTCGTTTCTGTGGTCTTTTCCTGGGCCGGCTGACCATCCAAGAAACTTCAGACGGTCCCGTGGCCCGGCACGGGCCTCGGAATGCCGAACACGGCAGGGCGACGCCCCCGTTGCGTGCATGCGCTTTTTGATGCGCGAGGGTGCCATGGCACCCAGGACACGCCTCCACCCTTTAGTTCGCAACCGCGGGAGGACAGCCAAAGCCCACAGCGAGGGTGCAAGAGGAGCGAGGGACCCTCGGACGTTCCACGCAGGAACATTCGCTTCGGCATCGGGTCAGCAGCTCTGGGATTTCTGGAGCAGGATCGGCGGAAGAAACCAGGGGGATGCAAGGGTAGCCTTAACCCCCATGATCGATGATTCACAGAACCCCATTTGGCAAAATACCCTTTCGTGAAAACTGCTGGTGGCACTGCAGAGGTGCGCGCAACACCGCAGGCCGAATGCACCCGGGCGGAACAACCAACCGACATCGAAAAACTACCCACTGCACCCTGCAAAACACGCGCCGATTAGCGGCAACGACGGGGACCGCAGAAGCACACTGCGGATGCCGGTGTCGAGTGAACCGATGAGGAATTTCTCAACCGACTCATCTGGGTGGGCGTTCTCTCAGTGCCCCGCAATGTAAACCTTGGCCAGAATCACCGGGTCGCTCGTCGCTCGACAGCGGGAACCAGCGAAAGCATCGACTACCTGGGCTGCTTCTCCCCGCCACTCCGACGACCCGATGCCCGGCGACGTGGGCGCCCGGGGCTCTCGACCCCTTTCCCTAGGACGGGCTGTTCATTCCAGAGATCGGCGGCGAGCGAGGGGGGAAGTGAGAAGGAGAAGGCCTTCTCAGACGGCGGCGGGGCTTCTCAGAAACCCTCGCGCCTTCTGAGAAGTTTCTTGTGTCTCTGGGGAAGGCTTGGTCGGGGACCTGCTGAGCCGGGTCAACCCAGACCCGGGTCAGTCAAGCCTTGCAGAATCCTGCAAGATCCTGCACCCAAACCCCGGTCCATGCGAAGGATCCTGCAATATCCTGCAGGATCCTGCACCCAAACCCGGGTCAGTGCGACCCTGGCCCTCTGCAGGATCCTGCAAGATCGGGCGCTCTGCCTGACCCCCGTTTGCATTGACCCCCGTCTCGAGGCTCCCGACTCAGAACACTTCTCAGAAGGCCAGGAGACCTCCGAGCCTTCTGAGAAGGCCGCCCCTTCTCACTCCCCCCCTGGACTCGCCGCCGAAGAGACGCCGGACAAAAGTACCCGGCGCGTGCTGCCGAGTCGCCAAGAGGTCTGGGTCCTTCGGTATGCGCATCGACTCCATCCACTCCAGCACGATGAAACCCTCGGCCACTGCCTGCGCCCGGCCACACGCGGCGAGCAGCTCGTTGAACGCCTCGCACCGCCACCGCATGCCGAGGCGATGCAGAACGCAGAGCCCGCCCCATCTCACGAACGACGGCCTCGGTGCGGCGATGGACCCTCACACCGTCTCCACGAGGCAGCGGGGAACCACAGAGGCAGTGTAAAAATCCGCCCCCTCGAGGCCTGGACACCCCGGCGCGATCCCACGGACTCGCGATCCTGTGGGGGAAGTGCTCTCAGAGCTGCTCTCCCTCGCGGCCGAGGAATACGCACAGGCCGGCCATGCATGTGGGACTGCTCCTGGCCCACGGCCGCCCCCTGCGCTTCCCCCCCAGGCTAGGCGGTGCGCCCCTGGGGGAAGCAAAAAGGGGCTGGCCTTCCCAGATGGCTCGGGAGTCCCCCGGCCTTCAGAGAAGTCTCCTGAGCCTTCTCCGAAGACGCAGGAAGCCTCTCAGAGGGCCAGGGCGCTTCTGAGAAGCCCCGTCGTCGTCTGAGAAGGCCTTCTCCTTCTCGGGAGCGGCCAAGAGGGGGGTGTCCAGGAGGGGGGGGGTGCAGATCATGACCAGCGGCATGTGCGCGGCCCAGCGGGGGGGGCCAGGGACATGATGAAATAAGAAGAGGCGCCATGAAACCTGGGGAACTATCATGGCCCCCGCCATGATATTTCCCCCCCTAGTCTTAAGTCGGGCCTGTCCCCCTACAGGATTATTTTCGACGGAAGATCAAAATTACCCCAGTGCGACCCTACTTAGAAGTTGGAGCTCCTAGGAACGCAGCATTAGTTGCTATGCAATGCTATGCTATGCTATGCCATGATGTGCTGCGCTACGCTATGCTATGCTATGCTATGCTGCGCTATGCTATGCTACGCCATGCTATGCTATGCTAAGCTATGGCATGTCATGCTGTGATGTGATATGCTAAGCTATGCTATGCTATGCTATGCTATGCTATGCTATGCTAAGCTGCGCTATGCTATGCTATGACATGACATGCTATGATATGGTATGCTATGATATGCTATGCTATGCGATGCTAGGTTGCGCTATGCTGTGCTATACTATGATGTGACTGGCTATGTGATGCTATGTTATGCTATGCGAATGCAGCGCTGCGCTATGCTAAGCTAGGCTAAGCTCACCCTCTAGGCAGAGCCTAGGTAGGGAATTAACCCTTTCCTGTGCTTTGATGTTGCTTTTGCTTTGCTTTGCTTTGCGTTGTGTGTGCTTTGCGTTGCTGTCGCTGCTGTTGTTTTGCCTTTGTGTTGCTGCTATGTTATGCTATGCTATGCTCTGCTCTGCTATGCTATGCTGCGCTGTGCTGCGCTATGCTATGCTATGCTATGCTGGGCTATGCTATGATCTGCTGTGCTGCGCTATGCTATGCTACGCTATGCTACGCTATGCTACGCTATGCTATGCTGTGCTCTGCTATGCTAAAGCTCAGCGAAGCTAAGATGAAGGTAAGCTAAGCTAAGATAAACCTGAGCTAAGATGAAGCTAAGCTAAGCTAAGCGAAGGTGAAATAAGCTAAGCTAAGATGAGATAAGCAACGCTGAGCTAAAGGGACGTGACTGGGGGAACCGCGGGGAGGATACTGGGGGGACCGCCCGGGGCGCTTTCCACTGCCCGGCCCCTTTAAGCCCAGAGAGTAAGAACCCTTCTAGGCAGAGCCTAGGTAGGGAAATACCTCAAAAATAATGATAAAACAAAAAACAAAACTAGTCTAGGGACAATTTGTTTAGTATTGTTTAAATCTATTTGGGATATTTGTTTTTGATATTTTTTAATATTCGTCGAAAATCCCCCTGTAGAGGGACACGCCCGGCATAACCCTAGTCATCACCCCCCTCTTTGCCGCCCCCGACCTTCTCGCTTCCCCCCCTCGCTCGCCGCCGACAGGCCTCTGGCGACGAGCAGAGGAACATTTAACTCTGGAGGTGCTCGCCGCTTATCTCGGCCTCTGGAGCCCGCCTATGCGGGCCCTGGGCTGACCCAGAGGCGGCTCACGGGATCAGGTAGGGCATATCCTCCTACAGGGGGATCTCGGGCGAAACTTTTAAGAATTGGCAAACAAATATCCACACTAGTCAAAAATAGAATAGCAAGATCGTCTCAACACTGTTTCTGACCATTCTCAAACTTGCCTCCTGTAGAGAGGGACACGCCCGACTTAAACAGAGGATGCACAAGCCGTCCTCGGCGGAGGGGTCGTGAAGAGCCCGGGCGCCGGCGACGGACGAACACATCGAGGCGTCGGACGCTCGGGTCCCGGGCCGCACTGCAAGGCCTGCGCGCCCGTGGCGCTCCGGGGAGCTGCGCGATCGCGAGTGCAGGGCCAGCACCGAGCTCGTGCAGTCCGGAAAAATCCGTTTGGACATTTGTCAGTTCCGCGCACGGGCCGCGATCTTTGCGGGGTCGTCGTCGGGGTTCCGGTGGTGCTGTGTGCCCGCAGCGCTTTCGTGCATGCTTGAATGCTTGTTTGCTTGCTTCGATGCGCGCTTGCACATGTTGCGCGATTGCATGCTGATGGCCAGCACGGCGCCGCGCTTTGCACACAAACGACGCCGCTGTCGTGGCCGCAGACCGTAGAGCGCACATGTCATGCCATTTCTCGTTTGCCTGCGTGCAAGAAGTCTGTCTGGGTCACCATCACCATCCTGTTCAGAACATCGGGCGCAGCTCGTTACCACGTCAGCTGGCCGCGGCTCCAATTCCATTCGGGGGCTCTCTGGATCATGTCTGCAATGCTAGTTTCCAGGTCGGAGGGTTTCGAATGTGTTCGAGTCCGATGGGGGCCAGCGCCCAGATACGCTCCTCCACATGACGTAGAATGTACGCCAATTGTTTGAACAGTGCTGGCTCGGCAACTGTGCACTCTGTGATGTCTCTGATGTGACGGTGGTGTGAAATGTGTGAAGGCCACACCATGGAACATCATAATTCCATGTCCCGCTCTTTGCGCAGCTTGCAGAATGCCCTTTCAGTGATCGGAAGCACTACCCTAGCTCAACCCTGCAGTGCCCTGTGTCGCCTCTGTTTGCTGTACATTATGACGCTCCTTCTCGCATTGCGCAAGTCGCCGTCTCGTGTGTTACAGGGCTTCGTGTTGCCACGCCACTCTGAGCGCCACCACGTCAGACGTTGCTTGTTCTGTTTTGCAGTGTTGTGCAGTGGTGTGCTTCGCGCAGCGCCGCCATTTATAGGCCATCTATTTGTTCACAATGCCTTGCGTTGCCGTATTCATTAGTATTCATACGTTTATGGTTACGACTAGTATGATACGTTTTGTTATCATATGTTTATTACAAGTATCATGATTGCCGCGCTCGGGCTGGTTCCTCTTATTTTGCTGCGCCTTTTTTCCACGTGCCACCTTGAATGCATGCGTAAGTCGCAATCAGCAGCAATCGCACCACCAACAATACACACCTCGCTGCGATGTAAAGGACGGCGGCCAGTCCTTCCACGTCTGGGCCTGGGGCCAAGAACAGATACTGGGTACAGCAGCTCATGTGGTATTCTCGGGTACTCCGGATCTCATAACAATGGGGGGGGTCTGATTCTGGGGGGGGGGTCTCACGGGCTTCGTCAAACACATTTGTGGGGGGTCTCGATTTTGGACTTTTTGTTGCCTGTCTTGGGGGGGGTCCCAGACCGGCCGTCAAACACTTTTTTGACCCACCCCACTATTATGAGATTTGGAGTATACCCCTGAGAAGCAAAGCTCCCAACGAAGGAGCGTGGAGCCCACGCGCGACATCTGCAATGTCTCACTGCGCCCCACGGCCTCCAGAGGTCCCTTCTGGGCCCCATGATCTATGACCCATCGGTCGGAAGAAGTAGGTAGCAACAAGAAGTAGGAAGGCGTGGAAAGTAGATTGGAATCTAGGGCTCCAAAATGCATACTTTCGACGACCGATGGGTATGTGCGTAGAAGTGAAGCGCGGCCCGGGATGATACACCAGCTGCAGGGGTGGGGAGCGGAGCCTCTGGCCGCGTCGCGAGAAGACTGACGCCAGAGGGTGGCAGCCAGAGCCAGCGGCCCCAAAGGGATATGGCCTCCTGAGGTGATGCATCCTGCAGCCTCCAACCTCCGTCTGGGGACACCAAGAGGTACCGATACCGCTACTCCCCGGACCTCTCCCAGGGTGCGTTCTGACCAGAATCTCGAGGCGAATCCAGCGGTGGCGATGAGAATCTCCCAGCAGGCACCCAAAAGGGGACACCGAGGCCAAGGCAGCGGTGTGCGGGTACATGCTCCTCCTTTGACTATATCCCCCCTCCTCCCAGCCTCAAGACTTCCCCCTCCCTCCACCGCCTGTCCCAAGCACCGTCACGAATGGGCCACGATGTCGGATGGCTGGGTCCCGATCCTCCAGCCTCCCTCCTCCTCACCCCCTGCCCGGCGTTACACACAAGAGCGGCCCCGAGCAGGAGTGACCTCTGGTGCGCAGCCTGCCAATATCGGCGGTGGACAAACCTCCCTTTAGTAGACCTCCCCTTAGTGAAAACGGCCTGGGACCGAAACCGACGGACCTGGACCCGCAAAAATGACGGCCGCACGGCCCTCTCGCGAACCGAAAACGGCCAATTCCTTAATCGACGTGTCAGGGTAGGAAGTCTGTCCACCCGCGACAATAGCTGCGGTGCGCTGCGACCGGTGGCGGCACGGCCCGGCTCTGCTTGGGCTCTGCCCCCCCCCCCAACGCCCCCCAAGCAGCCGCGCACCGAAGGTCACTCTGGCGAAGGGCCACTCTTTACGTAGAGCCGACCTGCTCTATGGGGAAGAGGATGACGAGGACGCCATCTTGCGTCGTCCCATCCCTCCCTGTACTCATCGTCGTCGTCGTCGTCGTCCTCCTCCTCCTCCTCATTCTCCTCCATCTCCGTCGTCCTCCTCTCCCTTGTCCTCGTCGTCGTGCCCCTCCTCTTCCTCCTCCTTCTCCTCTTCGTCCTCGTCCTATTCCTCCTCATCCGCCTCCTCCTCCTCGTCCTCCTCTTCCTCCTCCATCCTCGTCATCCTACACCTGTCCTGGGGCCCGTGTCACGAAACAGACCGATTCATCCTTCACCCTGCTCCACCCACGTGCATCCTCCTCCTCCTCCTCCTCCTCCTCCTCCTCCTCCTCCTCCCCTCCTCCTCTCCTCCTCCTCCTCATTTCCTCCTCCTCCTCCTGCGCCTCCTCCTCTCCTCCTCCTCCTCCTCCTCCTCCTCCTCCTTCTCCTCGTCCTCCCTTGTCTTCCTCCCTCTTACCGCGGCTGAGCCCGCCAGAATGTTCTTCGACTCTGAGCTGGCCGAGCGTCTGGAAGCAACAGATGTTCGAGTGCCGCTTTCTGCCACGCGTGCGGTTGCCACTCCGCCTCCAGGAGCGGAGATGCCAAGTGGTGGACTGGTTTCAGCATCACCGGTTGCAGCGTCGATGGAGGAATCGGGCAAAGGTCACCGAAGTTTCTGCACTTGGTAAGACTTGTGTTTCAACTCCTCTTCAACATCACTGATGCTCTATATATTGTCCGTTCTGCGATCACGATGGGCCTCGGTGTTTGGATTATTTGCATCGCCATTCGCGCAATTTTAGCCTCAGACCGAGATTCAGCGATGAGCTGTGTACCTACACTTCTTCGACGGCTTTCTGGTATACTCAATCGTAGTACTTCCCGTTAGGCGGCTGTAACCTCTCGCCCCGATGAGCGCTGGGTGCAGGGACTTCCTGCAGACACTGGCGGTCAAATCGGGCAAGCGCAAGAAGAGGGCGGAGGCGGCGGGGGAGACGTGCGGGACGAACTCATCCTGCTCGCGCAGATCGCTGCGGAGAATCGCTGGCACGCAGCATGCCTCCATCGTGCTTGATTGGGTGCTGGGCGAGGTAAAGAAGAGGTTTTACTCCAGCATGAAGCGCTAAACGCAAGAAAGACCACATGACCAGGACCCCGTGCCAGCAGGCCCCGATGATTAGCAGCGCTGCTGAAAGCACGAGCCCACTACAGCGGCCAGGACAAGGAGCACCAGATCATCGAGGGGATGCTGGCGAAATGCACCGCGCATGTCAAACTCGGGAAGCGCTTCCTGAATCTCCGGGGCTGTGGCACACGAGATCTCCGTGGGCTCCTGGAGGCGGTGCCCGCGGGGCTCCTGGAGGCGGTGGTCATCGTGACCAAGATTCGGGAGATCACCAGCGGTGAGGCGGCTCTCTGGCCAGCCCCCGCGAGCGAGCGCGAGCGCAACCTCCAGGGGCGCAACAGGCGCACGAAGGAGTAAGCGCGCGTGCGCAAATCGGGAGCGGCCAAGAGTGTCCGAGAGGGGGGGGGTGCAAATCATGACCGGCGGCATGTGCGCGGCCCAGCGGGGGGGCCAGCAGCGTAATGAAATGAGAAGAGGCGCCAGGAAATCTGGGGAGATATCATGGCCCCCGCCATATATCCACCCCCCCTTAGTCATCACCCCCCCCTCTTTGCCGCCCCCGAGAATAAGCGCGCGTGCGCTTAAAGTGGCTCTGCACAGTGCGGTGCGTGCCGGGATCTGCTACCGCCGGGCCCAGCGACCTTTGTAGCTCTGCGTCTCTGCGTCCCTGGGTGAGGGGCCCCTGCCCGCAGCGAGCCCCGACGAGTGGGGGGCCCGTCCGTTGACAAAATGCCGCTGGCCGCGTCGCTCACGGTGCATCTAATCGCCAGATGTCGCTAACTCGCCATCGCTCGGACGTGCAATCCTCGTGTATTTGTCGATTTCGTGCGTGTGTTTTTTCGCCAAATGATGAAGGATGGTCCTCGATGGCCGTCGCCGAGAAAAAATGCACACGTCCGAGCGATGCCAAGCTAACACGGCTGTTCCAAGCAGCGTCGCTTCATACTTGTCGCGATCAGGCCAGGGAGGCATCTCTGCAGTCGGTCCGATCTGCATACCTGGAGTACCTCTTGCACCTTCCTCCTCCCGACACCCTCTTCACCTCCTTCCTCCTCATTCCTCACCCACCCTCTTCCTCCCTCCTCCTCCTCCGCCGCCTCCTCCTCCCTTCTCCACATTCCTCCTCCCACCTCCTGCTCCCCCCCATCCAACTTCCTCTGCCTCTCTCCCCCCTCCTCTCTTCTTCTTCTTCTTCTTCTTCTTCTTTTTCTTCTCCTCCTCCTCCTCCGCCCGCCTTTCTCCTCTTTCTCCTCCTTTCTCCGCCTCCTCCTCCTCCTCCGCCCGCCTTTCTCCTCCTCATCCTTTCTCCTCCTCCTCCTCCTCCTCCGCCCTCCTTCCTCCTCCTCCTCCTCCTCCTCCTGCTCCGCCCGCCTCCTCCTCCTCCTCCTCCTCCTCGTCCGCCCTCCTCTCTCCTCCCCCTCCTCCTTTCTCCGCCTCCTCCTCCTCCTCCTCCTCCGCCCTCCTTTCTCCTCCTCCTCCTCCTCCTCCCCTCCTCCTCCGCCTCCGCCCTCTCCTCCTCCTCCTCCGCCCTCTCTCTCCTCCTCCTCCTCTTCCTCCTCCTCCTCCACCTCCTCCTCCTCCTCCTCTTTTTCCTCCTCCTACTCCTCCTCCTCCTCCTCCTTTCTCCTCCTCCTCCTCCTCCTCCTCCTCCTCCTCCTCCTCCGCCCGCCTTTCTGCTCCTCCTCCGTTCTCTTCCTCCTCCGCCCTCGAGCCCGGCGGCGGCGCAAAAAGAGGGGAGTGGGGGTGGGGCGAGGCTGGCGGCCTTCCGAGGGGGGCACGCCCAGAACGACGTTGCTCCCCGGCGTCCCATCCCGAGCCGCAGTTTTGTTGACGGCCCCGGTGCTCGGCAACGGCCCCAGGAGGCCAACATGGCCCCAAACCTTTCGTCGCGGCTTTTTTCTTCCACCACGCGAGGATGCCAATGCCTCCCCAAAGGCTCCCAACTTCGCGCTTCGCGCTGCGCGAAGCGCCAAGTGCGAACAACTTCGCGCTCTCGCGCCGCCTCCCAGGGGAGAAGAGGAGGAGGAGGAGGAGGAGGAGGAGGAGGAGGAGGAGGAGGAGGAGGAGGAGGAGGAGGAGGAGGAGGAGGAGGAGGAGGAGGAGCCGAACCGCGAAGCGCGAATCACGTCGCGCCCTCGAGGGCGCCCTTGCTCCCGCACCCCCCGAGCGCGGGCGCCTCCGCGAGCCCGCGGCGGTCCACGGAGGCCGGCATGGAGCGGACGTCGTTGGCGTAGCCGTGGAGGAGGGGCAGCAGGGAGCGGATGTCCTCTCCGCGGGGGGGCGGAGGCCGGCGCCCCGAGGGGGGCCACGGGCGCCCGCGCGGCGGGGGGAGATCGGCAGGGCAGATCTGCCTCCTCCTCCTCCTCCTCCTCCTCCTCCTCCTCCTCCTCCTCCTCCTCCCCTCCTCCTCCTCCCCCTCCTCCTCGACCTCCTCCTCTCCTCCTCCTCCTCCTCCTCCCCTCCTCCTCTCCTCCTCCTCCCTCCCTCCTCCTCTCCTCCTCGACCTCCTCTTCCTCCTCCTCTCCCTCGACCTCCTCTTCCTCCTCCTCTCCTCCTCGTCCTCCTCCTCCTCCTCCTCCTCCACCTCCTCCTCCTCCTCCTCCTCCTCCTCCTCCTCCTCCTCCTCCTCCCTCTCCTTCTCCTCTCCTCCTCCTCCTCCTCCTCCTCCTCCTCCTCCTCTCCTTCTCCTCCTCCTTCCTCCTCCTCCTCCTCCTCCTCCTCCTCCTCCTTCCCCTCCTCCTCCGAGGACCCCCCCCCCCATGGAAAATCTCTCCCCCCCCTCCCCCCTCCCTCCCCCTCCCCCCCCCTGCAGATGCTCTCCCTCTTTCCTTCGGAACCGGGACGCTGCTCCGAGGGGGGGAACTCCTCCCCAGAAAATTACGAGGGTCTAGTCCCCACCTGGCGCGCCGGCAGTCGTCAGCGACGGCCCGCGACGACGACGTTCAGTCGGGCGGGCGGGACACGAAATGCAGCCCTCACTCGATGATGGGTTGATGGGGCAAGATTGGGGACAAGACATAAAAACCACCGACGACGGCGCCCACGACAACGACGGGTGAAAGGGACCTTCAGTCGGGCGGGCCGGCGGGGCACCCAATGCAAAACTCGATCACTGATAGGACACTGTTGGGGAAAAAGAACCAAAAAACCATAGACGCCGGAGACGAAAACGAAAACGACGACGACAACTCGGGCAAGCGGGTGGGACATCGAATGAACCCCCGCACTCGTTGATAGGACAATGTTGAGAAGGAGCGCAGAACCACCGACCACGGCGGCAATGACGACGACGACGCTGAGGGGGGATCGCGCAGTGGCGGCGACGACGACGGGCGGAAGGGACACTTCGCCGGGCGGGCGGAGCATTAGCTGCAATCAGCCCCCCGCTCGTGGACAGAGGGAAGCGTTCACAAAGCACCGCGGCGACCACGGGCGAGCTGTTCGGCTGGGCGGGCGAGCGGGAGCGACGAGGGGCGACCGCACGACAACTGCGGCGGCCTCCACCACGCGTCTCACCTCGGCGTTGTAGTCCACGTTCGAGAAGATCTTCTCCGTGTCGGGGGCCTTCTCGCGCTCGGCCTCGGAGGATGCGGGCAGCGCCGGCTGCCCCGGAGTGGAGGGCACCCCGAGCGGACCTGCAGGAGAAGAAGTGTGAGGCTCCGTCGGAGCGCCTCCGTGTGCAGTGTGAGCTCGGCTGCATGAGGCTCGAGGGTTTGCGCAGTCACCCTGGTAGAGGAAAAATGGCAGCGCCCTCGACACTCGAAGGTTGATGATTCGAACTGCCTTTGAATCCTGCACCGCTGGGGCTGCTGAGTCTGCTAATCAGAACCTCGCGCAACATTCGCAATTACTTCCGCATTGTTGCGAGATGCGTCGGGAAAGAGACTCAATCTCCAGTCCCTGCCCTCCTGCCTCACTCTGGACGCCGAGAGGTTAGCTGCGGTCGCGGCGGCGGCGGCCATCGCCACTTGTGGTCCCTGTCCTCTTGTGGTCGGGGTCGTCGTGCTCTTGTGGTCGTCATAGCCGAAGCTGCCGTCATCATGTGGTCATGGTCGTCACGCTCCTCGCCACCGTCGTCGCCGTCGTCGCCGCCGTCGCCGCCGATTCCGCGGTCGTCGACGGTCGTTGCCATCCTTGGAGCCTCCGACGTCGCATGTGTCTTACAGCGAGGACCCCTGGAAGTCTCAGCCTGTTGCCCTCGGGCCCGGAGCCTGGTCTTCTCCCCCCGAGCGTCTTCTTACGGGGCCTGGGGCCCAGCACGGGGCCCCAGAGCAGAAAAATTCCCAACAACCTTGCGTCCGTTTTTTTTTGTTGTCCACGACGCGAGCGGGTCCGGGGAGGAGGAAGAGGAGGAGGGGCAGAGTTCACTCTCGAGCCGCAGCTCGGACGCACGGCGGCAGCTCGGGCCGACTCTGGACTCTCCAGAGGGCCCTCGACAAGGCGCAGTGGATAGGAACTACCCCGGGCGCCCCAAAAACACCTCCAGGAGGGCCCGAGGACCTCCAGCTCGCGAAAACCAGCGGGAACCTCCGGAAGCGTCTCCCCCTCGTCGTCATCTCTGAAGGGGCCCTGGGACACACAAATAAATACACACAAATAAACATATTACCCATATTTTCAAATATTTTCTCGGTTTTTCTCTTCCCCGCACTTCCCATATTTTCCCATATTTTCTGGGGAACCGACGATGTATTGTGTCTGTGTGTATCTTTTCCTCCTGAATCTCGGCCGCGCGCCGAGGGAAGAAAAACGAGAAGGGGCAGGCCTTCGCCGAAGGCGCCGGGGCTTCTCGGCTGATTCTCGGCCTCTGGAGCAGCCTTCCGTGTCTTCGCAGAAGGCTTTTCAAAAAGGCCGGAAGCTTTCCGAGCCACCAACAAAAACCCGTCCCCTCGGACCTTCCCCTCCAGGAGAAGCCTTCTGTCTTCTGTCTCGGATGATTCTCAGCCTCTGGAGAAGCCTTCTGTCTTCGGAGAAGGCTTCTCAAAAGGCCGGAAGCTTTCCGAGCCTCAAAAGAAAACCCGTCCCCTCTGACCTTCCCCTCCCGGCGCGCCGCCGGCTCGCCGCCGTCGCCCCGAGGCGGCGGCGATGATCGTCGCGTTCAGGCAGATGGCCGACACCTCCAGCAGCAGCTGGGCGGCCTGCTCGGGCCTCTGCAGGAGCTCGAGGAGAGAGCGCACCGCCTCCGTCCCAGGAGGGCGCCGGGCGAACAGAGGAGGAGGAGGAGGAGCAGGAGGAGGAGGAAGAGGAGGAGGAGGAGGAGAATAAGGAGAAGCAGGAGGAGGGTGCGAAGGAGGACTAGGAACATGAGAAGGAGGAGGAGGAATCTGGAATGTGGGATCTGGGATTGGCGCGCCACGTCGTGCGTCCGAGAACGACGTCCGACGGCCAAGAACAAAGTTATCCTGGCGAAGGACCCAACCATACGCAGTTGTGAATCCCCAAATTATGAATATAATATTTGCCCGCGCTCCCTATGGGGCCACGAATCGTGTGAGGGGCGTGCCGAAATGCGTGGCGGGGCACACAACGCGAGCGAAGACGATAGGTCTGTGTGCGAGAGACTGAGCGCGAGTGAGTCTGATTGTGAATGCGTCTGCGTGCGAATCAGTCCACGTGCATACACGTCGACGCCCATGTCGGCACGCTCCTCCCGAGGATCGCGCCCCATTCCTTCCCGTTCTTAGGGGAAAAAATGGCATAAACATAAAAACTCGGAGGTCCGCGCGGAATTCTCGGATCGGCGCTGGGGCACCCCGGCGGCGCCTCCGGCGCCTCCCCTGGCGCGCTCCGCGTTTTTATGTTTATGCCACTTTTTATTCCCCTAGTTCTTTCATTCTCTCTCTCTCTCTCTCTTTGCCCGTGCACGCCCATGTCCGAGGCCGCGGGCGCGGCGCCGCACGGAGTCCCCCGCGACGCACCCTGGTCGCCCCGAAGGGGACCCGGCCCCAGCGTCGCGCACGGGTCGTCTGCTGCGCGGGGCAGAGAGAGCTAGCTGGCTGGCCGATGGCGGACAAGGCTGTGGCCGCTGGGCAGAGAGACGACAACACGTATGAGGGGTGTGCCAAAATGGAGGAGGAGGAGGAGGAGGAGGAGGAGGAGGAGGAGGAGGAGGAGGAGGAGGGGGAGGAGGAGGGGGAGGAGGAGGAGGAGGAGGACGGGGAGGAGGTGGAGGAGGAGGAGGAGGAGAAGAAGGAGGAGGAGAAGGATGAGGAGGAGCAGAATGAGGAGGAGGTGGAGGTGGAGGAGGAGGTGGAGGAGGAGGAGGAGGAGGACGACGAGGAGGAGGAGGAGGCGAAGGAGGAGGACGAGGAGGAGGAGGAGGTGCCAAAACGGGGCGGCGCCGCCATGCGGGCTGCGCCACTAGGACCCTGCATGGAGCTCCCCATGGGGCCGCGAAACGTGTGAGGGGTGTGCCGAAATGGGGCGGCGCCGCCATGCGGGCTGCGCCACTGGGACCCTAGGCCCTAGATGGAGCTCCCTGTGGGGCCACGAAGCGTGTGAGGGGTGTGCCAAGATAAAGCGGCACCGCCATGCGGGCTGCGCCACTGGGACCCTAGATGGAGCTCCCTATGGGGCCACGAAACACATGAGAGGTGTACCAAAATGGGGCGGCGCCGCTATGCGGGCTGCGCCACTGGGACCCTGCACAGAGCTCCCTAAAAGGCTACAAAAACGTGTGAGGGGTGTGCCGAAATGGGGCGGCGCCGCCATGCGGGCTGCGCCACTGGGACCTTAGATGGAGCTCCCTATGGGGCCACGAAACGTGCGATGGGATGTACCAAAATGGGGCGGCGCCGCCATGCGGGCTGCGCCACTGGGACCCT